TCTCTCTCTCTCAAATAAATAAATAAAATCTTTAAAAAAAAAAAAAAGTGTTTGAATCTCAGTAAGTGTTCGAGGAAATACATAACACTAACTTACCTTACAATAGATATTCCTTTTAATGGATGATCTAACACGGTACTGTCAGAAGTAAACTTGCAATTTTTCACCTTTCCACAATGTAATCAAGCAAAATAGGCTACCGAGAGAACAGAGAGGACAAAAGATGCAAGTCAATTACTCACTAAACTGCCATTTTAAAAAGAACTGGAATATCACTTAAGAGTGCTTTGTAGCAAATTGGCTATCTCCCAGAAAACTGTCTACAATTCCTGAATAATCTAATTGTAGGACAAATGGCCTGATTTGTCACTTTGACTATGACAGTTGACTATACTGAAACAATAATTTCATTTTTTCAAACCCCAAATTGGCAAACAGAAGGACTACCGCCATACTTAAAAGGTACTCATGTATACCTAAGACGGGGAAAAAAAAATCCATGCTCTCAAATCTTTTAAATCCAGAAGTTATTTAATCTTACTAAAGCAGGCATCCTCCTTCAAAAACCAACCCAAGATAAAATTTAACATTCCCTTTCTAGGAGATCATGAGCTGTGTTCAATGAGACCAGTACATGGACACATATGCACAAGGGTGAGTGATTTACCCTAGGCTGAGCAATCAGGGATACTGCAAGACTATCTGGGCTTGGACATAAAAACTGCCTCACTCTGGTCTATCACTCTGCTCCAGGCCTGGTTTTCCAAACCTCCAGACCAAGGTTGTTGGTGCCCTCAGACTTAATACACCCTGTTCTCTCTTCTTGCATATCTTTTCAGGGATGGCTCGGGTCTCAGCCCCAATAAAACTTTCTCAGATAGGCCTTCACTGATACCCAATGGAAATTTACCCTCCCACCACCTTATACTGTCCCTCAGGGTCATATTCCATTATACCACCCTATGATCAAAAGCAATAAGCATTATATTACTTTCTTATTTATTGTACTTCCTACATTAGAATGTTAACTTCCAAAAAGCATGGATCTTGGGACCTTATCTATCTTGTTCATAACTGCATTCCCACAGCTTAGGTTAGGACTTGGCATAAAATAGGTGAATGAATGAATGAAAAACAAACTGGTTTTAAAAGTCATTAGGACAGGGGCGCCTGGGTGGCTCAGTAGGTTAAGCATCTGCCTTCGGCTCAGCTCATGATCCCAGGGTCCTGGGATCACTGGGCTCAGCCGGGAGCCTGCTTCTCCCTCTCCTTCTGCCCCTCCCCCTGCTTGTGCTCTCTCTTTCTGTCAAATGAATAAATAAAAATCTTAAAAAAAAAAAATCATTAGGACAGTATCAAGTGTGGTGAAGACATAGAACAACTAGAACCCTCATACACTGCTGGAAGGCATGTAAATTGGTAAAACCACTTTGAAAAATGGGCTGTATCTACTAAAGCTGCACATCCTATGACTCAGCAATTCCAACACAATACACCCAACATAAAAACATACATACCATCAAGACATGAACCAAAATGTTCATAGCAGCACTATACAGCAATGAAATTAAACCAACTACAACTGCACATATGGTGAAAATCTCAAAAAATTAACAGTGAGTGAAAGAAATCAGACACCAAAAGAAATCATACTATATTGATTTCATTCATATAAAGCTTAAAAATAGGTTAAAAGTAACCCATGGTGTTATAAGTCAGAACAGAAGGTAACCTAAGTGACTGAAAGAGAACACAGTGGGGAAGGGACATGTTTCTGGGATGCTGGTCAAGTTTCTTGATCTGGAAGCTGGTTACACAGTTATGTTCTCTTGAAGAAAATTCCTTGACCTGTACATTTATGGTAAGTGCACTTGTCGGTATAGTTATTTTTCAATGAAAAGTTCAAAAAATTAATCAAGAATCCTTCCACAGAGGCAGCATAAGGATGTCAAGCCTCTTTGTACTGTTACTCCACTTTCTTACCTTCCACCCAGCATTTCATCTCACCCACCATTAGCAGAGAGATTACCCAAGAAGGACAATGAATGGGGTGGAAAGGCAGGCCTGACTTGGTGGAGCAAAGGCTTTGGCTCCTAGGAGATAACCACCACAGGCTCTTAATTGTTGCAGATACCAGAACTCTGGAACATACACACCACCCAGTGCAGGGTGCCACACCCAAGGAAAATATAAGGGAGTTGCGGTAAAAATGATAGCAGGTATGTATTGAGTCAATACGACAGAAGGTGGAGCCAAAACTCTATACATTTATCTCATTTAATCCTCAAAATAATCCTAGTACAATGCTAGTACATACTAAGTGCACAACACCTCTCAATAATAAATATTTGCTAAATGAAAGGTAAGTGCTATTAGCACTTCAAAATGATTAACTTGTCCCAATGTTACACAAGATGGTACAGCCTTAATTCGAACCCTGAGCAGCCGGGATTCCAATGACTCTAAACCTTACAACACCTGTGTGAAAGCGGATAATGTTAATATATGCCTGAGAGAACTTGCTTCTGGTGAGCTTACTACAGTAAGCCAGGCTTCCCAGCCACTAACTGGGAAATCAAATGGACCTCAATTTCCTTACCCACAAAATGGATATAATAATAGAATCTTCCTTTTATTCAACCAATATATATTAATCACCCACTGTATGCCACGCACTATTCTTGGATTAAGTGAGAAAATGCAAAATGGCAAATTCACTTCCTCACTCCCTTAATCCCTTGCATTTATTTGTAAGAGACAGTGGATCTTTAAAAAAAAAATTTGAGGAATGTTGGGAAACTCGCATACAATTCACACAAAATTTTGCACTTAATTTCAGGGAATTCATAAACCTTTTAACATTCACATATTGCCCTGTCTCGTTAAAAACGGTTGCAGAAAGACTTGGTAAACCGTGCTCTCACATCAGAAACCTCCGCTGGCATTCACAAGTACCCAATTAACAGCAGGGAAGAGGGTACCATTTTTACAGACTACTAAAATCGAAAACTGACATATCTAATCATCGCAGTTTCATAGCCCAGGATAAGAATCTCACATCTCATGCTTCTAAGTCCAGTGCTTTTTCCAACTATGAAAATCAGAAGGCGCTTCTACTCTGGGGTTAGACTAAAGGAAGTAGAAGACATGCCATTCGCTCCTAGAAAGGTGGATGAGAGTCCCGCAGTTAAGAGCAGCTCACCTGGGGCGGGAAGCTTGGGTGGGAGCCAGGCCTCTTATTCACAAAAAGCGACCTAGACAAGGCTCTCTGGGCTCAATTGTTACATCCGTAAAATGGGGTAATAACTTATGCTGTTCTGCCTTCCCTGTGGTGCTTGGTTCACGACGCCTCAAAGAAGGAAAAGAAGGAAAAGATGGAAAAGCTTCCCAAGGGCAAAGCAAATAGGAGGGATGGTTAGGATCATTAATGAGACTCTCAGGGCGCTGAGGGCAAGAAGGCTCACGCTTCTTTGCTGTTGGCTTCCGGTTTCCCCAACTGCAAACTCTCAGTCCCTGGCGGAGCGGGAAGCCTTTTACAAATCGGGATGTGGAAAAGAAAAATGCTCCTAATGGGCTTAGAACAGTGGTACTTAACAGGCGCTTTGCAAATAATCTGCTGAATGAATCAATGACTGAGTCCACAGAGAACTTCTCCAGTCTCCCCGGCCGAGATCCCCCTCCAGCCCCGGAATGCCACACTCACCGGGCGCCGAAGCCCTCTGTTCCCACCGTCTCAGCTCCAAGAGTTCGTGGAGCCGCAGCAACTCTAACCTGTCCCAGCTGGACTCCTCTTACAGCCACTGGCCGCACGCCAGAGCCAAAGCGGGCGCCTAGCTAGGAAAGAAGGTGGAGAAAAGAAATTTTCGCGCCAAACGTCGTGGCTCCGCCCCCAGGCTGTCCCCACGTTCCGTCACCAGCCAGCCCTTCAGCCCCGCCCACCCAGGAGGGGATGCACGTCGTACGTCCGCCAACGTGTAGCGGCCATCATTGATTCGGTCAGCGACGCAGTTCGCGGAAGAAGTTCCTTTCCTTGCCGCATTCCGGGTACCAAGATGGTGGCCTGAGCTCTTTAGAGAGACTTCCTCCATCCTTCACCGTCCCTCTCAGATTTTTTTTTTTTAACCTGGATGTGACGCATTAAAGGACCCGACGGAAATAGAACTGAAGGCGTTCTAAAATGGCGAACCGTACAGTGAAGGATGCGCACAGTATCCACGGCACCAATCCTCAGTATCTGGTGGAGAAGATAATTCGGACGCGAATCTATGAGTCCAAGTACTGGAAAGAGGAGTGTTTTGGACTGACGGGTGAGCGGCAGCGCGCGGACCCCCTCCCCCCGCCTTGTAGCCCAGTTCTCCTGACTGGGCGTCGGTGGGACTGGTCCCCGGGCGTGAGACTGGAGGGGAATCTGTCATTCAGAAAAATTTGAGCACCTACTATGTGCCTAGTTTTGTGTTGGGCTTTGGGGACACATGAATCTGCTACAGCCTTATTCCGAAGGGTGGATGTGTTGGGTTCTCTGGGTGTTACCATGTTTAATATAATCTGCTGAGTTCTCAAACACTGTTAAGCTCAGGGAGTCTGAAGTTCTTAAAGGAACTTTAACATACCTGAAACCCAAGTCAGGGTATTACTATCCCTAAATCTGGACCATTTGCACTATTTCCATGTTCGGGTCCTAATACAAATACCAGTCCTTCAGAGAAGGCTTCCAGGTAGTCTTTAAATCTTTGATTTCTGGCTTCTCATTTTAGTAGCTCTTTTACCCCAGTGAACCATGTCGTCCTCTACTGTAAAACGAGTATCATAATGCCCACCCCAAAGGGTTGCTCTAAGGATTAAATGCAATAATGTATAAAAAGTATTTGGTATGGTTACAGGTATATATTTTAAGATGCATTCAGCAGTTGTGGTGGTGCTAGTTGTTACCACTGTTAACTACTCTGTGCCATTATTGTTGTTGCCACCACCATTAGCTGTGTGTCCATGGACACGTCATATTGTTTCTCTCTGAGTCACTGTTAAATTTTGGATAAATTTTGGGACCTTTTCTCATTACATACAGTTCTCTCCTTGGATGATCTCCACACTACAGTTACATCTTATATGTAGATGCCTTCAGATTTCTCTCTCCAGCCCAGATCTCTCTCTGAGATCTAAATCTCTAATTCCAAGACATGCCAACTCAGTATGTCCAGAAGTGAACTCATGACCTTTTCCCTCCAATGCTAGATTATGTTCCCTTGCTGTATAATTGTATTGCATTCTGCATCTTATTTCAACTATTCATCACACTTTCAATTATTTTTCAATGCTTTCTGCCTTGCCAGTCTGTAAACTCTGTAAGTGTAGTTATTTTGTCCTTCTTTATCCCTCTACCTACATCTCCAGTATTTAGCACCTGGCTATAAGTTTGACTCACTATAGCCCTGAAACTTTGTACCTTTATTATTCAGATTTGTACTGATAGTCTAAAAAAGAAGTAAGGTAAAATGACTTGCCCTAGAGTTCACACAGCTAGTGTTTGCTTTTGAAAACAATTGTGGAAGGTTATTATCCCCATTCTGTAGATAACATTTGCTCAAGGGTATGTAGCTATTGATTCGTTTGCTGTTACTGTTTCTTTTCACTCGGAATCTGGCTGTTTTTCTCCAAACATAATGGTGACAGGCATGGACTCTGAAGTTAAGACTGCTTACATGTAAATCCAGGCTTGCTCCTCTGGCTGTGGACCCTGAGCAAGTCACTTAACCTTTCTTAGCCTTCATTTTCCTTAGCTGAAAACAGCCTCAGTGCAGGAACTTCATGGCTAATTGTGAAGATTAAATGAGGTAGTATGACATGCTTAGCAGAGTACCTGGCATATAGTCACCTTTCAGTGTATATTGGCTGCTATTATTATTTTTACTATTAATACACAATTGTTCTTCTCATATTAAACTGTCAATTAGTATTCAGGAGCACCAAACCTTGAACTAGCTTATCTCCACTTCAAACTGGGAAAAGCTTGCTCCTAATATGTCTGAGATGCCACTTTGTTTTTGTTTTTGCTTTTTTTTAGCTGAACTTGTAGTCGATAAAGCCATGGAGTTGAGGTTTGTGGGTGGTGTCTATGGTGGCAACATAAAGCCAACTCCCTTTCTGTGTTTGACCTTGAAGATGCTTCAAATTCAACCTGAGAAGGATATCATTGTAGAGTTTATCAAAAATGAAGATTTCAAGTGAGTGAAATGTTGACTCGCTAATATAAAAGCTTCAATTTCAGTGGTCCAGAATTTGGCTTTGGTTAAGAGAAGTGAAAGCAGTGTATCTTGTTATTTTGTCTGTTCTGATTATATTGATCTTCTCCTTCACATTCTCAGCCCTGGTAACTACCCCTCATGCCCAAAAAGCATTTCACAAATTCACTGAACATATATCAAGCAGAAGTGAGTACCTCGTATGTTGGTAGCACTGGATGCTCAAAGATGAAGAAAACTACATAATGCGGTAGATAAGCAGGAAAACTTTGGTGTAGATGGAGGTTCATGTCCAGACTCATGTCTAGTCATGTTCAGACTTATTGTGACCTTGGAGAAGTTACTACATTTTGTGAGCGTTACTTTCTTTACTTGTAAAATGGAGATGATGATACCAATTCAAGACTGATGTGACGGTTAAAGAAGATAGTGCTGTATATCTCACAACACAGTGCCTGTTGCATGGTAAATACCCCCAAAATATCAGCTGCTCATATTATTTTATTCATTCTCAGGGAGTTCACAGACAAGTGTAGGAGACAGATATAGTAGCTTATTATGTGCCACCCTCTAAGGCATTTACATATAATAATTTATTTAACCTTCACGACAACCCTGCAAAAAAAATTTTTTTTTTTTAAGATTTTATTTATTTATTTGACAGAGAGAGACACAGCGAGAGAGGGAACACAAGCAGGGGGAGTGGGAGAAGGAGAAGCAGGCTTCCCACGGAGCAGGGAGCCCGATGCCGGGCTCGATCCCAGGACTCTGGGATCATGACCTGAGCCGAAGGCAGACGCTTAACGACTGCGCCACCCAGGCGCCCTAACCCTGCAAAATTATTATCCCTGTTACACAGGGGAGGAAACTTAGGGACAGATTAATTTCAAGGTCAAACAGCTAGTAAATGGCAAAGCTGGCTTCAGTGTTCAGATTATTTTCTACTCCATTCTGTTTGTCATATAAAGAAACTGTTGAGTTTCAAATGCCTACTAGTTATTCCAAGTGAAGAATTTGAGTGGGTAGTCGGATATAGGAGAAAAGAAAAAGGAATCTTACAAAACGTTAACAGCTAGAAAATAGCTTTTATTAGGCACTTATATGTGCTGTATGCTATGCTTAGCACTTTACACACGTTTCTCACTAAATAAACCAAGCCAGCAAATTAGGCACTATTATCTCCATTTTACAAGGATTGAGAAAGCAAGTAATTTGCCTAATGTAACAAAGCCAGTAAGTAATGGAATCAGAATTGTAACCCAGAGGACTTTGACTTTTTTCCAGAACCAGTACTCTGTGCTACCTAGCAACAATTTATATATTCACATCTCTATATATATATTATTTCTTGTATTTTTAGTAAACATATAGGTTATTGTTAAATTCGGTATCTCATTTGATTCTTACAGTAATCCTATGAGGTAAATAGATTCTGTCTTCATGTTATAAATGATATAATAGACTCTGAAAGTTGATCAACATGTCCCAAGTTCCTGCAGCCAGTAAGTGATAGAATGGGAACTTGTAACCAGGTCTTCATATTTTACCCTTCTGCTGCCCCATGTTGCCTCTAAAATTGCAGTTCTTTCATCTGCCAAAGAAGAGAAAGAACTTGTACATCCACTACTGTCCTGAGAAAAGCCAGCTGTGAAACTCAAGATTAAGAACTTTTTAGGATGGCCTATTGTTTCACTGTTCTCTATTTGTCAGATATGTCCGTATGTTGGGAGCACTTTACATGAGGCTGACAGGCACTGCAATTGATTGCTACAAGTACTTAGAGCCTCTCTACAACGACTATCGAAAAATCAAGAGCCAGAACAGAAATGGGGGTGAGTATGGTACCAAGTGTTTGGACCTTCCTCCCTGAACCAGTTCACCAATATCTCTACTTTCACATTGTAACATACATTGTGAATGCTCTTCATCCTTGTTGTTACTGTCTTCATTTCAGTTTCTCCACCTCCTGCATGGAGTACTCCATTAGACTCCTAGCTTCCTGTTGGCCTTACCCAGTCTACCTACCTTTCCAACTGTATCTTTTTTTTTTTTTAAGATTTTTTATTTATTTATTTCACACAGAGAGGGAACACAAGCAGGGGGAGTGGGAGAGGGAGAAGCAGACTCCCTGCTGAGCAGGGGGCCCGATGCGGGGCTCGATCCCAGGACCCCGGGATCATGACCTGAGCCGAAGGCAGACGCTTAACGACTGAACCACCCAGGCGCCCCTCCAACTGCATCTTATGTCGGTCCCAGCCTTGCATCATGTGCTCCCTCCACATGTGCTCCATCCCATATGACCTACCTCCAGAATGACCTCTGAAAAAACATTCCCCAAACCTCACAAAGTTTTCTGTATGTTACATCATCACAATTATTTTTATTTTTATTTTTTTTATTTTTTAAAGATTTTATTTATTTATTTGAGACAGAGAGAAAGAGAGAGAGTACATGAGAGGGGGGAGGGTCAGAGGGAGAAGCAGGCTCCCTGCTGAGCAGGGAGCCCGATGCGGGACTCGATCCCAGGACCCTGGGATCATGACCTGAGCCGAAGGCAGACGCTTAACGACTGAGCCACCCAGGCGCCCCATCACAATTATTTTTAATGGCCTCTTCTCTAACACTATACTTCACACTGCAGTATAGATTAAGCGTACTCATACTTACGTAGGAATCCCACTGAAAAATAGTAAGTATATCCAAAGGGGGCAGCTCCATACATTTTACAAAGGTATTTTTTTGTGGTAGAGGGGGATTCAGGGTAATGCAGTAAAAACCTTTTTCTTCTCACTTAGTGTCGTAACAGAAGATTAGTAACATTTGCCTTTTACCTCTACATGTAACATTAAGCAGAAGAAAGTCAAGAATTTGGTATTTTACTGTAAACTTTTATTAACTTACTAGTTTATTGAATAAATAAATAATTAAGTGCCAGTGTCATGCCAGGTACTGTCCTTTGTACTGGAAATAACATGGTGAACAAGATGGTCATGGGCATCATGGAATTCCTTATTTATGTTTATATTATGTTAAACTAAGATGGGGTTTTTCAACCTATTGACAGTTTGATCCAGATGATTCTTTGTTGTGGGAAGCTGTCCAGCTCATTGTAGGATATTTAGCTGTATCCCTGGCCTCTACCCACTAGATGACAGTAGCATCCCCACTAGTTGTGGGTGGCAAAGTTAACCCCTGTTTGAGAACCACTGAACTAAGGTTTACTTTAAAAATTCTGAAAAGCTATTACTTTATTTACCATATAAGATACATGCTCTATATTTAGAAACATGGTTCACATGAGAAATTGTACTTGAGTTATATGATCTGTTCAAGAACATCACCCCTGGGCACCTGGGTGGCTCAGTCGGTTAAGCGTCTGCCTTCAGCTCAGGTCATGATCCCTGGGTCCTGGGATCAAGTCCTGCATCAGGCTCCCTGCTCAGCAGGGAGTTTGCTTCTCCCTCTCTCTCTACCCCTCCCCCCGCTCATGCTCTCTCCTGTGTGCTAATAAAATCTTAAAAGAAAAAAAAAAAAAGAACATCACCCCTATACAATTCAGAACTGTTTGTGCTTGCTTTTGTGTTGTGTCTCCTGCTAATTGGGACAGCTTCATTCATCCCTTTATCCCCAGCTCCAAGAAGAGGCCTGGCACATAGATGGCCTCAGTAAAGGTGAGCTGAATGAATGAAGTGATGATGACAAGGCTATGAATGGCTGTAGTTTGAGCTCAGGTCTGTCAATAATCCCTTCTCTGTAACTGCCACACTGAATGGCTTTACTAGCAAATGTGCAGGGAAGGGAGGCTGCAGAGGATTCACACTTTGTATACCAAGTACTTTTTACATATAGATATTTTACGTATAGAGTCTTACACTTCTTTTACTTGTTGGCTATATAAATTTATTTCCAAGTTGCCTGAGCTTATGATTGTTCTTTCAGAGTTTGAACTGATGCATGTGGATGAGTTTATTGATGAACTGCTGCACAGTGAGAGAGTCTGTGATATCATTCTACCCCGGCTACAGGTAAGAGATAAAGGAGACGTCTCTTATCAGAGTTGCCCTTCTCTCCCCAAGACAAGGGAGACAGACAAGTACACATACACAATAAAACACTGAAGCCCATGGATCTCAGGGGTCCTCATCTTAATAACTAGTCTTCATATGTATGAAAAAGGGGATTGGGAGAGGAAAACATAAAGTATTTGAAGGGTAGGGCTTTAAAAGTGAGTAAAACAGGAAGACTTTCTTCTTTAAAATGATATATGAAGGAAATTGTAGGATGTAAAACAGATAAAAGGAGGGTCAGGAGTGGTAGACTGAGATCTTAACCCCTTAAATGTCACCTTTATAACCCTGCTCCTTTTCCTAGTGATAAATGATTATCCATGAAGCACCTTTCAGGAATGGGTTTTGCAGAGTATTATTTTAGAACTACTGTTAATAAAATACAAAGGGAAAACAGATACAGTAGGTTGCCTAAAGAGAAAGGGAATGATCTATAATGGAGAGATGACGAAGCAGGGAATTAAGAGATTAAGTTTCTCTTGTTATAGCTGACTAGCTATGGAACCTGGTTTTATTTTCCCATCTATAAAATGGGGAAATTAGGCCACTCCAGTGGTCTTTAAACTACTCTGTGGGACTGTTTTAAGGCTGCTGAGAGGAGTAAGAGGAGACAGCCCCACATATTCCAACCAGAGTAGCTCCTTTTTTCTCTAAATTACATATTGGGCTTGAGAGTGAGATTTCATTTGAACAAAGGTTTTTTTTTTTTTCTTTTAAATGGCTTTATTAAGGTATAATTGACATAAACTACATATTAAGTGTGCAGTTTGGTAAGTTTTGCCATATGTATACACCCTTGAAACTGTCACACTCAAGAATAGTGAACATACCACCCCCAAAGTTCCCTTTTTTCCTTCTGTGTAATCCCTTCCTTCCCTCCTCTCTCACCCCTAAGCAACCATTGATATGCTGTCTGTCATAATAGATGTGTTTTGGAATTAATACAATACATGCTTTCTTTTTTTTCCTTCACTCAGCATAGTAATATATATTGCATGATAATTATTTCAAAGTAGGGAATAGAATGAATTGCAGATATCTGAGTCTTAAAAAAAAAAAAAAGATATCTGATAAATGGTTCAGATGAGGCAGCAAATCAACCGGATAAAAAGTAGTTGGTACATGAGTGCTCACATTTAAATGCAATGAATCAACTCTTCTCCACAATGACCCAGTTATAAGAATCTATAAAATAAAAATCCTGAAAATGAGTGTGGTATATCTTTCCTATTCTTTATTGGCTACTGTACACTGTGTAGTGAAGAGAGTAAGATTTCAAAACTGAAAATCTGCTTTCAGGGCCCAATTTTCACACTTCATTATGGTTATGTTAACTATCATTATTACTAGCTGCTCTCATTTTTAAAAATGCTGTAAGAAATGGATTATTTTGAAGTGCAATCAGTTTGTAGCTAAGGGTTCAAAAGCCCATTCAGCTTTAAGCAAGCCTATTGGTGTAAATAAGATGGTCTTCGTAGAGTCTAGAAGACCATAAAACATGCCTTACTGAGAAATTGAAATCCGACTGATGTATATTTTATCACCAAGAAGTGTGGTCTGTTGTGGGCCTCTTTGTGCCCTAAATGAAGTTACCCTTAAGACTACCCTTCTGCTCTAATGCTGTTCTTATTAAGGACTTCAGTGCCCTGACATTGGCAAGGAGCTGCTCTGAAATGAATTCTAATTTCATCAAACACAAATACTATGAATTAATATATTGATTTTGGTCACTTCTGAGTCTGGTGAGCATTAGGAATTTGGGATGCCCTGTCTGATGCAGTCCTAGATCCCAAACTGGTGATCCTTTTTCCAAGGAGCTCTTTAATGAGGGATTGACTTCACAGAGCAGCATCTTTGTCTCATTTTCCCAACCTTTATAGAATTTTGTTAGGGATAACTGAGATCTAAGCTAAATGTTACTATTTATTCTAGGGCTGTCCAACATTTTTTATGTCTTGGGCACAAGAAAATGATAAGGGATCTCATGACCCAGCCAGTCCCATTTGGCATTTTTGAACTCCTCTTTGCCTTGCAGGTCCTTAATCATGCAGTAAGCCAGCGAAGCCACATCTCAAAAGAAAATGGAACCAGGAGATGGATTGTTTATATACTGTACTTGGTTCAAAATGCATGACTCTACTAGACAGTTCCCTAAATCCCAGGTCAAGTAGAGCTGGTGCTACTCCATACCAGGACCCAAGGCACTCTTCATCCCCCAAACTGGGCTGGGCCTCAGTGGGTCTCTTGGGGTAGATTTGCTCTGACACCTGTCTTGGAACTACCAGCCACCAGAGTTACAACTGTGAACTTACTGGCCTTTGTAGATGAAGCTCCATTTTTATTCAAGGCTACACCTATACTGATTGATATTTTAGTGACCTTAAGAGTAAAAGATTACAGAGAATAGAGCCAACAGAAAATGAAGTTGTTCCCTTCAACTTTGTATTTATCTATTTACAGGGGGATGTAAGAGTGAGTATAGATGAAAAGTATGTTAAATTCCTTAGGAAAATCTTGAACTGTCTAGCATGTCTTTGAAATGATACTGCCTCAGCTGTTGCTCACCAGTTTTCCTGGCAATCCCAGAGGCCCAGTGTTGGGGCTTCAGGGCATAGAGAACAAGGCCGCCTGACTCTCATTATGTTTTCTATAGAAACGTTATGTGCTAGAGGAAGCTGAGCAGCTGGAGCCTCGGGTCAGTGCTCTAGAAGAGGACATGGATGATGTGGAGTCCAGTGAAGAGGAGGAAGAGGAGGATGAGAAGGTCAGGCACCTGGGAGCTTAAGGGTTGAAGGAGGGATAATTATGGGGAGGGGATGGGGGAATGGTCCTTCCTTGTTTTGTTTTCAATTTTTAACTTTCTTTAACCAAAAAATACAGTATTTATCATTAAGAGTATGGGCATTGGAGTTAGACTTTGATTTGTATCTCAGCTCTCCATAATCTTGTGCAAATTAATATCAGTCTTTTCCTTTGTAAAGCAAGGAGAATAATACCTTTCTCTTAGGATTATTATGAGTAATAAATCAGATGATATATATAAAGCCCTTTGCATAGTATTGGGACATTATAATTGAATATTCACAGTTGGTAGCTATTAAAATAAATACTTGGAACAAAAATAATACTGTTCATAGTTGAACCTATCCTAAGGAGTAGGCCTAGTTTAGGGGGAAAAAAAACCTACTGCATGCTCATGTTATTTACTAGTTAAAATGCTGAAAAGCTGAAAGCAACCTAGCTGTCGGAGCAGTCAGGTAAACTGTCATCAACTCAACAGACTATTAGACAGCCATTAGAACTGTTATGAAAAGTATATGATAATATGGTTAGAAAAGAAGAATCTGAAACTATTACTACATGTATCCAGAAAGGATCTAGAGGGAAATATAAGAAGTGCTGGTTTATGGATACTGAGTGTAAATGGAAGTGTAGCTCTGAGCCAGTAGGCTCCCTTTAGGGTGAGTGCAAAAGGAAGCATAATGTTAGTTCATGAATTTAAAGCCAAGCAAGCAAGGCTGAGGTGCTCTTTTGTAGTGAGTGAACCAAAAGTAGGCATTCTGTTTTTCCTTTTTATAATGGAAAATTTCAATCACTTACCAAGTGGAGAGAATGTGTCTCCATTTGCCCATCGTCTAGCCTCTATACTTCTTTTTTACTTCTTTTATATATCTATACCAAATTGTCCCCACACCAATTTTCTTGACAGAGATCACAGCCATCATATATTTCATCCATATTTCAGAAAAGGCCTAACCATACCACTGTCACCCCACATCAACAGTAATTTCTAGTATCAAATATTCACTGTTGAAACTAAAATTACACTGTATGTCAACTAAGTAGAATTTAAGTAAAACTCGAAAGAAGTTAAAAAATATTCAGTATTCACATTTCCCCAATTGTCCTATATTTTTTAATAGTTTCAATTAGCATTCAAACAAGGTCCATAAATCAAGTCATATTATTCTACACAGATTTTTACAATATGTATTTTTCTGATTGTGTCCCTGTGAGGTCAACTTAACATGTTCGATGGTCCCTGTATCTTCTGTAAACTAATTCTTAGATCTGGAGGCTCAGTTGGATTTGAGGTTTTTGTAGGCTTTGGAGTAGAGCAACACTACTTCACAGGTACTGGTGTGTACCCCCTGCCCCAGGGTGAGCAAAGTCAGGCTGTCTCTCTTTTTGTCATATTAGGAGCCACTGTGCCTAGATGATCTCTGCCTAGACCCATTGTGAGGGGGTTGTAAAATGGTGATATTCTTTGTTTTTTCATCATTTGTTACCTATAACACTGCTATAGAGAGAAGTCTCCTAAATCAATATTTAATTTTTCATAGGTACAGTTGATATAGAAAAGATAAATATTGGATTATTTATTTCTCTTTTTCAGTTTTTAAAATGAGTTGACTCCATAGTATCTTCCCAATATGATGAGCTTTTGTCCTTGGTAACATTGTAAACTCATGGATTTAAGCAAATTGGATGTGTTTTAAACCATCATAGTCCTTGTTGATGCTGAAATTGTCCCCTCTTTGGTCAGTGGGGGGGGCCCCCAACTTGACTCATGAGACTGATAAAATCATCATGGTCTCAGCGCCTTGTCTTCTGATATGATAAGTTCTGGTCATGTTTTGTAAGCTTCTGCCCCCAACCTGAAATTAGCCATTTTTCCAGGGAGCCCTTGGTTTCATTTATAGGGAAAATGGTATTTAGATACCATACCCTGGGTACTATAAATGCCCATTGCTATGGTTTGGTCAGTGTTTCTAGGTCTTTACAGTTGGCAGACCTAGAGGAAAATTTTAAAGATTAAAGTACACTTTAGGGGCGCCTGGGTGGCTCAGTTGTTAAGCGTATGCCTTTGGCTCAGGTCATGATCCCAGGGTCCTGGGATCGAG